TTGATGATAGCCATTCTAACTGGGGTGAAGTGATATATCATTGTGTTTTGATTTGCAGTTCTCTGATAATTACTGATGTTGAACATTTTTCATGTGCTATGAGCCATTTGCATATCTACTTTTTTTTTTTTTAAGCAATGTTCTGTCAAAGTGCTATTTTCATGGTTTTGCCCATCAGTTCACCCTGGGCAACAGAAACTTCAATGCAAGAGTTAGGAGGAGTCTGTCCATTTAACTATTTATATGTAAAAAACATAAGATAATCTTTACTTTAAGACTTTATAAAAATAATAAACATTTATTTATTAATAAATCATGAATTAATTCAAGAATTTATTTGACAACTATGTGTTAAGTGACCACTGTGTGCCAGGCACTGTTCTGGTAATTGGAAATACTCAGCAAACAAGACAAAGACACTTATGGTCTTTGTCCACAAAGAACTAATATTCTAGTAAACATAATAGATGATAAACAGGAAGATGATTAATGAATAAGCTCTTTTTATATGGTGATAAGTGCTATACCTACAATAACACAGAGGAGTGCCACAGTGAATGAGAAATTATGTGTGCTCACATGGGTATACCAAAACTTTTGATAAGACTGTTGGGGAAAAAAAAAAAGGCAACATTTTATTTATTTATTTTTAAAGGTACTATTAGAAGTTAGAACTGATGACACAGGGCCAGCCGCATGGCCTTTTAGTTAAGGAAGTCAGATCCCACATAACTGACTGCGCTATTTGAATCCTGACTCTGGAAGATGGAAGAACATGCCGGGCATGGGTATGTACATGCCCCAGATTCCAACAGGATGAAGAAATGGAGGAGAAGGTTTTGCAATGTCATCACACCTCATTGGGGGGTGCTTTCTCCCTTTATCTGTCTCTCTCTGTCTAGCATGTGCAATCTCTGGCAAAATCAAGAGAGAAAAATAGTGAGAACTGATGGAGCAGGAGAAATCAGCCATGTAGATAACGAGGTCCCAAATAGAGTTTTGAATCTGACATGTATAAAGAACACAAAGGGGCCAGGAAGTGGTGAGGAAGTGAAGGCACTGGATCCCACGTGACTTGCTGTGTGGTTAGACTCCTGGGCCTGGTGGCTTGAAAAATCATGCCAGGTACCTGTACGTGCATGCCCAAAATCTTGAGAGGATAATGGGGGAGAAGGGATTTGCAGTATGGCCATTCCCCTGGGGAGTCATTTCTCACTTCTCCTCTCTCTATCTCTATCTCTCTGCCTCTCTCTGGTGGGCACATGCCCCCTATAGCAAAACCTAAAAACAAAAAACAGCACAAAGATGGTTTGAGGTCTGAGAGATGCGTTGTCCATTACAGTAGCCACTAGTCAAGTGAGACTACTGAAATTTGAGTGAATTAAAATGAACACAAAAGCAAGTTTCTCATTGGCACTAGCCATAGTTTACCTAATTAACAGCCACATGTGGTTAGTGGCTACCATACTGGACAGTGTAGATGACATTTCTATCGCTGGAGAAAGTTCTAATGGCTAGTGTTGAAGTTGTGAAGTAGGAGAACTGAAATGGGAATAGAGGTCAGAGAGTGGCCTGGGAAGTTTATGAAGGTCCGCACAGGCTGTTAGGACTTTGGATTCTGCATGCACAATGGGCATCCTTTGGGTGGTTTTAAGCAGCAGAGGGACGCCATTCAATGTACATTTTTAAACTATCATTCTGCCACATAGAAATGGATTATAAGGAGGGCAAGAATAGCTAGTTATTGCAATTTTCCTGGCAAGGGATACCGATGTGTCTTTGGTTGGTTATTACAAGAAGGATGGTGAAGGAACCAGCAGGTGGCGTGGTGGTTAAGGTATTGGACTCCCACATGGCCACCTGTGGTCAAGTCCCAGATTAAGAGGCTTGCTTTCTCACTTTCTTTCTCTCTCTATCTCTCTCTCTGGTGAGCACATATGACATAGCAAAATGAAAATAATAATAAATTAAATAATTAAAAAATAACCTTTCCCCCTTCTGTCTTATGTAAAAAAGAAAAAGAAAAAGAAAAAGAAAAAAGGGATGGTGAAAAATAAATGGATTCAAGGGCAATGTTCTCTTCTGGAATCTGAGCAACCATGTGGATGGTTATATTCACTCCTAGGATAGGGGAAGACTGAGGAGAATTGGTTTGATACGTACTGGGTAGGAATAGTAAGAAGGGAATTGGAAGTTAAGAATTTTGTCTTGCAGGCTTTGTATTTTAGGTACCCATTGGACAGAAGCACAGAGAGGTCAAATAGGTAGTGGTGCATGAGTGAGCCCATTCTCTGGATTGTAAAACTACTTGAATTTTATAATAGAATTCTCTTGAGCACAATTATATTTGGCGAAGTGCAATGCTATGCAGTGGATTAATTTCTAGAGCCTCTTTATGAAGAAAAATATAACACATGAGTTAGCTTTGGCTAGAGAGGTTTTGGAGAGTTCTATGAGTCAAATTTGAATTCTTCTTTCTATTGTCCATGCTCTGTTTTAATGTGGGTACAACACTGTCCTTCTTTGTTGTGTGACCGCTTCTTGAGTTGGCACTCACCTCTACAGAAAATGGGCAGTCTTTACTTGTGATGGCTCAATGCCTACTTTATGCATTGCAACTTGTTTCATTTAATACCCTGTCTGCTAAGTGTACATCATTAGTCACTTCTTTCAATTAGCACAGTTCTGCCCCTCTCTGCATTTATTAAACCTGAGTGTCTTGTTTTTGTTCATGTGCCTCTAGACATGAGATGGTAACTGGGAGGAAAAATCTACCCTTTTTTTCTTTAGGTGTGACAAAGAACATTTGGGCTATGATTTTTGTCAAACATGGAGATAAACCCAATGCCAGGATATCACCAGTCATACCTCTGAACAGCTCTGGGTGTCATCATTTAACACATGAGCTGAGTATTTTTGTTTTTCCACCATTAGCAAATGCTGTTTTTCTTCTGTCATAACTTTTTTTTTTTTAAATCTACTTTCCATCTCTTAAGTGCTCAGTGTTTGTGGTAATATTATGATCTTCTTTAAGAACTGAGATAAGTGTGTGGGGAGGGGACAGAGGAAATGTTCTAAAATTCCCCTTCTGTGCTGTTCCTTCTAACCTTGATACACGCCCAGATTTTTACATTTTTCATTTTAATGTGCTATTTTTGATGCCAAGGGATATTAGCATGATTTTCCAATCAAGTTTCTTCACTCTGAAGTATCCCAGGTAGGCTCTGGCATATGAATCATATGTCTGAAAAGGAAACTCATGAAAGTCTGTGTGCATGCTAGGGGGCTCATTTGTCTTTGGCAAAGACACTGCTGCTCCTGTTTCCTTAATTATTAAACAGATGGTACCCACTGCCACTGACTGGCTGCCTAACTTGTACTCCTGCGTGGAAGCACAGTTCTGGACATCTGACAGCGAGCTGAACCGTCATCACCTCTCATTTCCATTTATGTCATAATATGGACACTTGCCTCTAACTAGAGTATGCTGTTGCCCATGAAGCTAGTAACTCTCACATGTGAGCCATCTCCTCCCCATCCCCATGAATTAATTTTATTTCAAGTATCTCCTTTGGACTTTTATTGCTTCATCTCTACGCAGAAAATACAGTGGCATATTGAACCAATTATTCAGGCTGTAAACACACTTTAACCTGAAATGTCAAGATAATTAAGACAAAACTGGATTATTGATGTTATTAGTAAGGGCAAATGACTTCTAATATAGCCACAGTAAAAATGAGCAAGAGTGGACTATCATATTCTGTTTTCCATTTTAAAATGATGTTAGATCCCATGGGAAACGGATGGAGTATTTTTATTTGTTTCTTAAGTCCATTGAACAGGCTCCAGCAGGTGGTGTGGTGAAGGCCCTGGACTCCACATGGGTGACAATAGTTGGAGTCCCTTACTTGGTGGCTTGGAAATCACACCAGGCATGTGTGTGTGCGTGCCCAAAATCCCAAAAGGAGAATGGAGGAGAAGGGATGCTGTATGACCATCCCCCTGGGGGTTGATTCCTTGCTTTTTCACTTTCTGTCTCTGGTGAACACACAAGCACTATGGACAAACATTTTTTTTTTTTAAATCCGTTGAATAGATATGGTTATTATTTTTTGTAATCTGCCCAAAAAGTTAGCTTTGAAACTTTCTCTTAGTTTCTCAAGTACCACATTATTATAATATATAAACCTATAATCTATAACTAGGCTCCCGATTTTTTTTTCCCTCATACACTTTCTTCATTGTAGATGTAGTATTTCATATCTGGTCTTTTTAAGATCTTTCCTAGTGTAACCCATGTATCTTCTCATCTCCCTTCAAATATGTCTTTTTCTTGTTAGAGAGATGTTTGCCATAGGGCGCATGTGCTGGCCGGAGAGACAGAGACAGAGAGAAAGCAAGAAATCATGCATGGGGGAGGTGTGGCCAGGCCACAATCCCTTCTTCTCCATTCTCCTCTCAGGATTTTGGGCACACATGCATAAGTGCCTGGTATGAGTTTTAAGCCACTGGGTCCAGGACTCGAACCAGGTGAAATACATGGGAGTCCAGCGACATAACCGTTATGCCATCTGCTGGTCCCTAAATATGTCTTCATATCATTTTCTGATTAATTATCTAAGCTTCCTTGTAAACCTTTTTGAGGCTATGGTCATTTAACCTCAATATAGGCTTACCGTCCACAGTCAACAACTATTGATTAATTTTCATACACTAGATTGGTTTTCTTTGTTTTTTTTTTGGAGAGGTTTTTGCTATAGGGCGCATGTGCTCGCCAGACAGACAGAAAGCGAGAAATCACACACACACACACACGCTTCCCCCCCACCCCCTGGGGGATGGCCACACTGCAAGCCCTTCTCCATTCTCCTCTCTGGATCTTGGGCACGCACATTCGCGCGGCTGTGTGAATTTTAAGCCACCGGGTAGAGGCAGGACTGAGTCAACTACATGGGAGTCCAGCAACATAGCCATTACGCTATTGGTCCCTGGATTTTTTTTTTTAAGTTGAAGTTGTTTATTTCCTTGTTTTTTAATGAATGCTTCTCCTCACCCCCTTCTTAATAACACTGTGTGGTCTAGATAACTTGCTGAGATTTTTCCATGATTTGGCCCCGTAGGACAGACTTGGGTTCTTGGTTGGAAAACCGACCTTCCAACCAAGCAGCCAAAGCATCACAGTGCCACAGTGCCACCGGATATTTGTTTGCTGTTGTACTGGACTTGAGAACCCTTGAGCATCAGACAGTAGACGTGGCTGTCATTTGCAGTGACAGTAGGAAGTGTGTTGGCTCCCACTGCCCTGTCAAGTAGCCCAGCACTGTTCCTTTGTGCCAGCATCCTTGGAAGCTCAGCCTTAGGGCCAGCGGCAGACCCCGCCTTGGTGAGTTTCCTGGTGCACCAGCCACAGCAGCCCCTTCTCTGGCTTGTAGGGTGAGGTCCACGCTCCCCAGAACTGAGCACTTGAACTCGGGTGCAGCGCCTCCTCGGGGCAGGGGGGAGCTCAGCCTAGACAGCTTTGCTAGGGAGTTGCCTTAAAGAAAGAAAGCGGAATTGTCGATCAACTCCATTGCCTGCTTTAACACGATTTTAAGCAGTCCTCTTCACTGTTTCCCTTCTGCAAAACTGTAAATTGCCACCGACCTGCACCAAAAAGAAGGGCGCTTAAAAGCAAATCTCATTCTCTCTTCTCACCCTCCCTTCCCTCTCACCCTCCCTTCCTCTCCAGCTCGCTCCCTCTCCCTCCCTTCCTTGCTCCTGCGGCAACCGCTAGTCTCTCGGTCTGTGTCTTTCAGACCGGACTAAGCAACTTCTTGATTATTTCTCAGCTCTCTTTCCATCTTTTCCACCCTTTGCCATGAACTGGACCGACAGACGTGGGAGAGGCATTGGTTTCTGCCCCAGGGAATGGCGTTTCGCGTCCTGGGGCAGTGCCGAGAAGGATCGGCCAAGGAAAAAGAAAGAGTGAGAGAGAAAGAGCAGCGGGAAGGAAGAGAAGGGAGACCTCCATCTGCCTTGGGGCAGCGCGCAGCGGTGCGCGCCCAGCTGCACCGGGAATGGTCCGGAGCTCGCCTTGCGCCCCCGGCCCCTTCAGCGTCAGCGGCCCGGGTGTGCGGGATGCACTGGGCAATTTTTAAAATCGAGAAGTAGGAAGAGACCCTGGAGCACAGAAGCCGGGGTTGGGGGTGGAGCAGAAAAAAATTTAAAAGCTATTCCAAGAGAAAAAAGGCGAAGTCTGTTCGTGCTAGCTTTTAGCTCGAAGAAGTCTTTTTGGAGCAACTAGCCTTCTCCAGGAGTTACCCGAAAGCGGAAACTTTCCGTGGATTGTGGGCCGGGAGGGCGAGGAGGGATTAGGAGGGTGGGATTGGAAGGACGAGCGAGTGCGCGCGTGTGTGGCGGGGCGAGGGCGTCGGGGGGCCATCCGGGATTCGGTGAAGAGGGCACATCATGGCAGTGCCGGGCGAGGCCGCCGGAGTCCGAGACCAGCCCGGCCGCGGTGGGGGGAATCAAGCCCCTGCGATGGGCTGGGACCGCGTCCGCCGCGCCGGCCCCGCACGGCGGCGGGGCTCGGGCTCGGGGTTCCCGGGGCTGCGGGGGAGCCCTGGGGCTGCAGCCGCTCCGCTCCCGGAAACTTTCCTCGGCGCTGTGCGCGGGCTCCCTGTCCTTCCTGCTGGCGCTGCTGGTGAGGCTGGTCCGCGGGGAGATCAGCGGTGACCTGGAGCAGAGAAAGGAGGCGGCGGCCGAGGAGGAGGAAGCAGCCTTGGGAGCAGAAGGGGGCCTCTGCCCCTGGCCTCGGGGAGGTGCTCCCGGGGGCGGCGCGCCGCTGAGCCCCTGGCTGCAGCCCTCGGCGCTGCTCTTCAGTCTCCTCTGTGCCTTCTTCTGGATGGGCTTGTACCTCCTGCGCGCCGGGGTGCGCCTGCCTCTGGCCGTCGCGCTGCTGGCCGCCTGCTGCGGGGGGGAAGCGCTCGTCATGATCGCCTTGACTAGCGCGGTCAGGACCGTGTCCCTCATTTCCTTAGAGAGGTTCAAGGTCGCCTGGAGACCTTACCTGGCGTACTTGGCCGGTGTACTGGGGATCCTCCTGGCCAGGTACGTGGAGCAAATCTTGCCGCAGTCCGCGGAGGCGGCTCCGAGGGAGCATTTGGGGTCCCGGCTGATTGCTGGGACCAAGGAAGATATCCCGGTGTTTAAGAGGAGGCGGCGGTCCAGCTCCGTGGTGTCCGCCGAGATGTCGGGCTGCAGCAGCAAGTCCCACCGCAGGACCTCCCTGCCCTGTATTCCGAGGGAACAGGTAAGCGCTGGCAGCTCCTCTTGGCTCTCGGGGAAAGTTGAAACAGTTGGGGACCCGTGCAAAGTGCAGGGAATTCGAGCGCTGGGCACTAAAGGGAAGATTGACCAAGAAAATGGTTTGACTTTAGACGTAGTAAGAACTGGCGTTTTGTTCTCTCACTCTCAAACAGTATTTTGTAAACTGCACAACAGAAACGCCGAGCAGTAACAAAGCTATCGGATGGCATCGCGAAGGGCTTCCCCAGCTGAGCCAACTTTTTAGAGCAGCTACACCTGGTGTGTGGCTGCTTTACACTTTCAAGTGCTCTCAGGCTTTCCTCGCAGAAACTGAGAATTTAGTCTTTAAGCACTGGGTGATTTTCCAACCCTTGGATTTTACTAGATTTCTTTCTGTTTTCTCAATGAAGTTTCTTTCTTACAAAGTGACAGGGAAACATTTATGAAAACCAGTGAAAGGGTTCTCGCTCCCAGCAAGGCATGCTTGAAGGTGAGGTGCTGATGCACACTTTTTGTTTTTTCAGTGAGTGTTACTTGGAGAGATTACATCGGGTGGTGCCCAGTTTGCTTTGAAATATAGTTTAGGGGTATGTATTATTACTTGCCAGTGTGTTTTGTATCGGAATCATAAACCTTAATTTGGAGAATTATGTGTGGACTTCAGAATTGTTCGAAATTGTAAACTACACTCATAGTGTCAACTAAAAAACTATGCTTTTGCTTGAGTATACACACAGGTAAGTAGATATTTAGAAACAAATAGATTTGTACAGGTTTTAAAGAAAATGTTAATGCAGGATTTTTTGTTGTTGTTTTTTAATAGCCAGGGACAGTGTATCTTTCTGAAAGGAGGAGGTTGGGGAGGAACCTGGAGCTGTGAATGAAGTAGTAAATAAAAGTTTAGTCTGTTTGGGGATGACTCCCCTGTTTATCATGAAATATTTCAAGACCATGCAGTCATTGCTGTAAAGAGCATAAAAGAACAAATTCCAATTTTGAACGTCAATTGTATTTGAAAAGGTGTACTTCAGTGTTCACCTCTCTTCCCTGAAGCAGATTTGACACTTGATCGGGGGGTGGGGTAGGGAGCTGGTTAGTGCAGCCAGTGGAAATTTACACTTTTCCCATTTAAATTTATGCCTACCTATGGTACCCTTCAGACCACTTCAAGGAGTTAGAGAATATCTGAAGATAGAGGAAGCATTTTCCTTTTAGATTGTTCTGTGGATCATCAGCTATTTCTAAGAAAGAGTAGTCACCATATGGTGTGGGGTGACTAGTTTGTTTCTGAAATAGAGTTGATTACACAGATCTGTGATTGTTTGACATTATTTAGCAGAGTGGGTGACAGCATCATAGACTCTGTTTATTTGAAAACAAATGCACTTATTAAGCTCTTTGTTTAGATAAAACAAATGTTTCTTGAGTTTAACTTTAAGAGTGAAGTAAAAACAGGCCACTGACTGATACTTAGTTTGAGTAGCTATTTGGAAACAATTGGAAGAAAGTTATCTACTGTAGGATAAACTAATTAGAGGGAGAGCACATTTTAATTTCTTTTCCCAGTTAGGAGAGGAAATATCTTTTAAATAAGGCCACTGGTTTCAGTGAGTGTAGAGTACACTAACTTAGAGGCACATGTGATTGTTACAGAACTTGGACTAAAATGTCAAAGGAAAACCTGTGATTTAATCATAAATAACTTCATTCCAAACTGCTACCATTTAGCCGCTGAAATTAATTTTCTGAAATTTTATCCTGGCATTTAAAATTTAAGGAGGTAAGGGTGAATTTAAGATGATTCGGTGAATTAACCACCAGTGTTAATTAACCTGCAGATGTTTATTGGTTTTCTCTGGTGTGAACTGACAAATGGAGAATTTGAATAGTCTGCAAATGCATGGGAAAATCACTGAGCAATGCATTTTGAAATGTTGGCTGAAAACGCGTACTTATAACCCATTTTGGTAATTTTCTCTGGTTACTGTTATTCTCAAGGCTGTGTTCATGAAGAATTTTCTAAAGCGAGAGAGAGACTTTATCTCTTATGGTTGATGGAAAAACAAGATTACATTTAGCAGAAATTTAGATCCTTGAAGTTTTAATGAGGTCATGGGTGATTGTGTTCATCTCACTGAGTAGTTTTTATATATGACCCATTAAAGTTTTTGCAAGCATAATTGTGGGGAATGGGTGGGAACTGACATGGAATGGTATCTTCCCAGATAGGGCAGTATTTCATACGTTAGCCTAACTGTGTGAAAAGTCCAGGAGCTATATAGTAAATGGCTTATCTGTTTTATCATAAGGAAACAAACTTCTGATTAAGGGTGCAAAGTGTACCGCTGGTTATTTGCATATTTTATGAAGTCAAGAATCAAAATAATTATAAACAAGCATATAACATTCCCTTAAATGCTACCTGATTAGTTCTTTTTAGTAGAATGTCTATTCTCAACTCTAGACATAATTCACAGGCAACAAGTGGATTTTAAATAGCAGTGTTAAGGACATAAAGCACAGAGTCTGTTAGAGGCCTGTTAAGTGATTTGGACCTTGATCACTGTGAGGTTTAAAGGTGAGAGAATTTCAGCCTTTTTTCCTCTGGGCGAATCCCAGCGGCCTCTTGCTTACAAACTTTCTCTCTTTAATGGCTTTTCATTCTTGAAGTGCAAAGAGAACAAATGATAAAATTCTCATAGGGCAAACCAACTGACAGACATATTTTCCTTCCTCCTCTACTTCCTTTTGGAATTCTTTTCTTCCTTCCTTCCTGAACTGTAAGTCTATAGAACCATCAAAGCTAGAGATTGGATGTTACATAGACTATTGAAGTTTGCAGAGTTGATGATCTGCAAATGATGAATTCAAGCAAAGAAGGGGAAGTTCTAGTCTTTGGTCACAGAATTAAGCAGGTACTGGGTGTGTCTGTGAACGCTAGCGAAGGGATCTTAACTTAGTAAAGAACAAAGTTTATAGCATCTGCGTGGCTTCTGATTCAGTTCGGCCAGCCCAGTATCCTCAAGCCTGAGCTTAATTTTGTAGATGAATGTGTCAAAGTATACTTTTTTGACTGACAGTGTTGAGAAGGCAAGTGTCAAGGTGTTATGTCTCTTTCTGGTTGGATGTCCATATTTGAGGATACCTATATGTTTCTTGATTATGACTGTACTCCCCCAAAACTGTAATATACAGAGGTACCTAACATTTCTTGAATTATTAGCTCTTATGCATGATGAATAAGCATTATATTTCATCATAGAAGTTTAATGATATGATTTTAACAGAAATTATATTTGAAGGAATGTCTCTTTAGTCTCTTTAATTTATTAAAAAATATAATTGGTTACTTACTCCTCTCCAATCACTGTGACCACCTTACACATTCATTCATGAAAGATTCTAAACCAGTGCAATTTTATTTTAGTTATACATTGGAAAGAATTTAATATTTTTACCTATGGTTTTACATAAAATAAACACAAGGTCTATAGCTCTGTTAATGCATTTACACCATCTAATGACAAGATTCTTTGAGATGGCTACATCAATCAGATCTAGATGTATAGATATTTACTTTATATGATGTGATTAAAAATCAAAATTGTTTCTTACTATTTCCCTAAACTTTCAATTCAGCGTCTTCAGCAAAATGAATGGATTACTGTGGGAATGTAAATAGGTTACCAAAAAAAGAATCAAATTTTTCATCACTTATGTGAGAAAGACATTTTTAAAGAAAGAAACCAAACAACAACAAAAGTAAGAGAAACGGTATGATTTTTGATGGGAAGCGTATGGTAGGCATTGTTATGGCTTTGGTAAAAATTGTAACTTGCTTGCTTTTATCGTACAGTTGTAAAATATAGAAGTATTTTTTCTCAATATGTGGAATATATTACCCTTACAATTCATAAATACATTTCAATATAATGTACTGAATGAATGAATTTCAGAAATAGTCATGGCTTTTACTTAAACTGGAGCTTCTGTCACTTTTCACTACTATTAACTCAGCTTATGGTGACACAAAGAGCAATATTGATTATTTATGACTTGGTGACAGAATTAAAATTAATTAACGTCAACTTCTGAAAATACTCAAAAGGCAAAACAAAATTTCTTTACCCCTTGGGAAAGGTAAGCGAAAAGAATTTTTTTTTTTTTTGGTGAGGACAAAATAGTGATTTTACGTTGTGAATACAGATATTTCAAGAATACAGAAAATCTGTTTTAACTGACAGAAATAGTCAGTGAATCTATATAAATTTGCAGAGGTTGGGAGGAGTGAAAACAGTAATTTCACTCTTTCTGTATTGAGTCTAAAGTGTAAAAAGTTAAAACTGTAGAACTGAAAGAAATGCTGTGTATGCTGAGCTGTCATGTTAATTAAATAAACAACCAGAACAGTGACTCTGTGTCTGAAATACATTTTGAAAAGCCTAGGGGGTGGGGGTGCAGGCAGGCAGGGGTGAGTGACACTGGCATGAAGAAACACTCATTATATCTGTAGTGATGTTTGGGGGAATTTGTTGTCTTCTATCAGGAAATGTAGCTCTGAGAATAATCTCTTCGGGACTCTGCTTAAGTAAAGGCTTTACCAAAGTTCATTTTATTTCTGTTTTAAATAAATTCTTGATTTTATGTTGAGAGGGATGCTTACAAACGGCAAAATCAGAAGTGTGTCTATGGATTATAAGATGTTCAATGAATATGGTTTGTGTTGACTTGCCAGGATCCAGAAGAGTCTAAATCAACTTTATTAAAACTATGTAATTTTTTAAAAAATTATTTCATGGACGAGAAACAGATGAGAGAAAGACAAGCAGCTGCAACAGGGTCTTACACTGTGATTCCTTTCCCAGCCTTCCAGCCAGCCTGAATTATTCCACATGTGCACAACTGGAGTGGCTAGGTCAACCTGGAACCAAACCCCCAACTTCCATATGGTTTCCAGCATTGCAGAGTTTTGAACTATCTCTGTGAGCTGGGTTGAAACACATA